AAAGAAAAGAAAAGAAAAGAAAAGAAAAGAAAAGAAAAGAAAAGAAAAGAAAAGAAAAGAAAAGAAAAGAAAAGAAAAGAAAAGAAAAGAAAAGAAAAGAAAAGAAAAGAAAAGAAAAGAAAAGAAAAGAAAAGAAAAGAAAAGAAAAGAAAAGAAAAGAAAAGAAAAGAAAAGAAAAGAAAAGAAAAGAAAAGAAAAGAAAAGAAAAGAAAAGAAAAGAAAAGAAAAGAAAAGAAAAAAAAAGAAAGGAAAAGGAAGGGGGGAAGGCTTGGTAAAGGCAGCACAGTGGCTGCTATGCTATACGCCAGCACTGTTGCAGGCTTGGGGATAGAGCAGCCAACAAGATATTGATAGACTGCTTGCTGCTTTCATGGGGCTAGGTTCCATGCTAGTTGAGATGGGAGAGAATAGACAAGACAACAGCTGTGTCAGGCAATGTGTCATAGAAACAAGTGCCCTAGCTCTGTCGCAGGGAACCTCCAACCCAGCAGCCTTTCCCATCTTCCTCCACACCACTGCCTTTCTCTTAGGGGCAAAATCCAGCCCTTCCCTTACCAGCTTGGGTGATGGGGCTGCAAGACACAACTCCCCAAAAACACCACAGACAGCCTCTCTGTTCTCACTGTGTCTTCTCTCCTCCAGGAGCCATGGTTATCGTCAGTGGCTGGGGGAAGCAGTTCTTACAAAGGTTACCGGAGACCCTGATGGAGGTGACGTTCCACATATGCCCTACAAAGAGTGACACCTCAGCTTTGCATTGGCCTTCCTGCTTCACATTGCTCTTCAGGGATTAGTAGGCTTAGACACAGAGTGGCGAGAGAGGTACCAGGCACCCACTCACCTCCAAAATTCAGTGGAACTTTGAACCCTAGAGAGCTCCATTTGCTTGTTCTATGTATCATGGGTTCCAATCTCTAAACACTGTTCCATGGTCCTGGTAGTTTATTAAAGAGGCTCAGCTTATACAAATTCTTCCAGAAACATCAGACTTTGATACCCCAAAGGGTCAAAATCAATCTATATACCATAAGAGCTACAAACCAAATTAACCAAGAACAGGTTACTCTTGTTAAGCAGTCCTTGAAGCAATGAACTTAACTATTGCATTTAGAAGTCCACACTCCCATCATTTCAGAAAAGGAAACTGGACTAGGAATAGGGAGCTATGGCTTCAACTTCTGGCTCCTGTTCACTTTCTGGGTGGCCTGACAGTCGTTTTTCCTCTCTAGACCTTAGTATACTAGCAAAGTTGAGTGGCAATATGAGATGTCTTCTATGAGCTGCCTGACTCTGACAGCACTGGGTTCTGTGATTCACACAGCTAGTTTCTAAATTGTTTAATGTATATATTTTAACATACTTTAAACATTTGGATTTGCAACAACCATTCATTCCTCATTCATGAACTCCCAGGTGTTTATTTAGTGTCTCCTGGGTGCCAGATAGTACCAGCTACGACCAGTGCAGGTCCCTGGCTCTCCTGGGCTTACAGTCAAGTCAGACAGGCCCCAGTAGCAATGGATGTGCTAAGGTGATGAGAGAGAAGTGCAGCTGCTCTGGAATGTATGAGGTTCAGAAGGGCTTCTCAAAGAAAGGCGCTTCAGTGATACCTGAACGATGAATCAAGCTTAGATAGGATATGTCCTCAGGACCACCCCGCCCTGGCTTCCACGTCCCAGTTATCCAGGGAGCCCACGACCCATGAAGGATGTGAATAGCCTCTGGTTCCCATTACACGAGGACCCACAGAAGTTGTGTGTGTGTGTGGGGGGGGGGCATACAATCCATTCAGCTCCTGTTCTGGCTGAATAGGACTCATGTGCTTTCTCTCTCTCTTTTTTTTTTTTTTTGTATTTTCTTATTTATTTATTTGTTTAAATCTGCATTTTATCACGTCTTTACAGTATACATTTCTATTTTTTATTATTTTTTTATCTACTCCAACATTTATCCCTTTAGTAAATCGAGGGCAATAATAATCACAATATGCTATTTTTATATATCGGCTTAGTTTTTTAAAAATCAAAATGATATTTTCTGAGTACCTGTTATGTTCCAGGTTATGTAAAACAGAAACGGACAAAATACAGATCCATTGTCTAGAGACTCGTACTGTAACGAAGAACATAGTAAACACCTGCTACAATGCGAACACTGATATCCCTTCAAACACCCAATATTTATACAATAGCTGTAGTTTAGAAAGCATTTGCTCATTCACTTCCTCTTTATGAACCTCCCTGTGATTAGTATGTCAAAATTTTCAGATGAGGAGACAGTCTCAGAGCACGGAAAACAGTGATTAAGCCATATGCTCCACATCCACAGTAGAGATGGCGGAAAGGAAAACTGATCACGGTTTTTGTGTACATTGTCATAGCTCAGACAACGCTTGTGTTGGGCATTATCATCTCCACTTTACGGATGTGAGAACTGAGGCCAAGAGAGAGCCCATTACCTGTCTAAGATCACATAGCAAGTCCACAGCTGATACTACAAAGTGAGCTCATTGCAAGAGTACCAGACCATGGCTCCTGCTTTTCATTCATTGTCCTTTCGCCTGTCCCATAAAGCAGGTTCTGAGCTCAAGTCTGTGATACACTCAGACCCATTCAGGCATGGGATCAGGAGGAGCCAAGAACAGGGACTTCTCGGCCACGGATAAGGCCAATAACAACCTTGTTTTTCAGATTGAAATCCCAATTGTTGACCACAACACCTGCCAAGAGGCCTATGCCTCACTGAAGAAGAAAGTGAGCAAGGACATGATCTGTGCTGGGGAGAAGGAGGGTAAGTCAAGAAGCTGGGTTGGGGGACCAGCAGTTAGCGTAATGGCTATGTCGCTGGACTCCCACGTAGTCAACCGTGGTTCGCATCCTGGACCCCGTGGCTTAAAACTCACACCGTGCACGTGTGCATGCGTGCCCAAGATCCTGAGAGGAGTATGGAGGAGAAGGGATTGCGGCGTGACCATCCCCCCGAGGGCTGATTTCTCGCTTTCTGTCTCTCTGTCTCTCTCTGTCTGTCTGGCGAGCGCACGCGCCCTATAGTAAAAACCTCTCCAAAAAAAAAAAAAGCTGCCACCCCCCGCAAAAGAGGAGACATTTATAAATTCATAATGATAATCTACTAATTTATAAAATTATCAGATATTTTGTTTAAAAATAATTTCATAGTGCTTCAAAGGAGCGTTTTACTAAATGTTTTATTTTTTTTCTTAGTATTCACCATGTGAAACACACATACTTATAAGATTGGATATTTTTATTTTTATTTTGTCACTAGGCTATTAATTTTACTTTCTAAATCTAAAATATGTGCTCAATCTACAGCAACAATTCAAATAAGAACAAGTGAATAAAAGAACAATACAGAACTAGTAGCAAATTCATACACACAAACACATGCACACATACAATGGATTACAGAGAACACCTTGCAGTGAAACACTGCATTCTTTCATGTAAACTGCTTTCCAAATCCTCAGTAACAACGTGCTTTTCAGATCTCATTTCTGTAATCTCACTGCCCCTTTGGTCATGCTATTTTACCACCTGCTATGTTAGATAGAACTCTTACCTCCTGGGAGGAATATAGTCCTGATAGTTTATGAAGGCTGCAAAATACAAAATTACTGAGGATGATTGTCTTCCCTGTACCACCATGATCACTGGACCATATTGCCGGCTGCAACCCCATCCCATACCTGCTTGAACTTCTTAGTTTCCTCACTGTGGCCCCCACGTTACGTCTCCCTGTCCAGCTCCATCTAATGTCATGTCCACTCACCTTGCTCTGCTCCTCACTGCTTTCTTTTCTCACTCATGGCCAGTAAATTACCAGGACTTTCTCAGAACTGCCACCCCCCAGGGGGGCAGTGCAGAGCCAGAAGTAAGTGCTGCTGGCTTCCGAGTCTTGTAGACTATCAGGGATTCTGTCAGAGAAAATAATCGTAGAGTTGCGTGCTACGAAATTTCCATATTTTCTTCCCACTCTTTTATTCCTCTAAAGAGAATGGCCTGAACCAGCTCCTCCTAAGTCACTTTGAGTTCTGAGGAGGCCTGACCTAGAACTGCTCAGAGACCTGATTTGGGTCGGTCTATGGCGCTCTCTAGTGACCAACTCTTTGAACTACATTCAGATGTAGGAATCCTTTGGATTTGAGCTGGGAAAAGGGGTATAATCAGCATCTCTTTTTCATCTAGGGGGGAAGGACGCCTGTTCTGGTGACTCTGGAGGCCCCATGGTGACCCTGGATACAGAAAGAGGCCATTGGTACCTGGTGGGCACAGTGTCCTGGGGCGAGGACTGTGGGAAGAAGGAACGCTATGGAGTATATTCCTACATTTACCACAACAAGGACTGGATCCAGAGGGTCACCAGGGTGAGGAACTGAATTAGCTCCTCCATTCCAACCCCACCTGCTATGGTCAGTCAGCAGCTGATGCAAGTGGCCATTCCTTTCTTCACCCCCCTTATTCAGCTTATCACTGGACAATGAAGGGGCCACCTCTGCCCCCTTTTCCCTATCTTTAAAGAAGCAGGGTAGCTAAGTGATCAGAACATAGGCTGGGTCTATGCTCCATCACATACAAACTTCGCGATGCTCGGCAGGTGACTTCATCTCTTTCAACCTCGGTTTCCTCATCCATAAGATGGAAAGACCTTACCTACCTCATGAAAGTCTGATGAGGGTGGAATTAATGAATGTATACACTGTTTGACACGGTGCAGGGCGTAAACTAAGGGCTTAATAAACAGGACTTGGCAGGTCAGTGTGTCCACCAGGCAGATGAAGTTCTCTTACAAACTCCTGGCTGGCCTTTAGAACTGATTGGTGAGCCCCCTCTCCCCTGCACTTTGTTTCCCAAATGCCCCATGCTTCTCTGCCCCCTTACAATGTCCCCACCCCACCCCCACCTTTCCCTCCTAACATAGAACAGACCGGTTCTTAGTCCTGTGTCATGCTGCACAGCAACGTAGCTTTCAACATGAGCCAGACACCAAATTGTGGGAGTGCTTTAGAGAAGCACAGCCTGACAGGGAGACAGGGAGTGGTGGGATGGGGAGTCAGGCAGCTGGTTCTCTGGCTCTTCCTGCTTTTCTGTGTGGCCCTAGGCCATCCTTTCTCCTCATCCCAAAGAGCCCTCTTAGCTCTGATGATCCAAGATCCAATGAAGCCATTTTTCCCCCTGATGTGAGTTAAAGCTAAACTAACCAAAAAGAAAAGTTGACATTAGATTCAAAAGTGCTTTGATGCAGACAAAATGCTGCTGTTGGTCCTGCAGCACCCACTCCCACTCACCACACACCGTTCCCCGACAACACGGCCCAGCACATGCCGGCCAGGGATCGTTCCTTGTTCCTATGCAGAGCATGAGTCCTGGGCCCTGGCCTTCCCTTCCTGGAAATCTAGGCTGCACAGGAGGGCCCTGGTAGGCCACACCTCAGGCCCTGCACTCTCTCCCTATATCCACAGCGGGGCCCCAGGAGTCATTCCCCCTTTTCCTTACCCCTAAGCCCCATCCTGAATTCTCTAGTTCAACAAGATCACAAATACTTCCTCAGCACAATGCCTCTCCCATCCAAGAGCCACTTCCTCACTCAGGAAACTTCTAGAGACCAAATACTCTTCAGAGCTCCAAGATATAAGCCCTTCATGCAAACAGAAGCTTCGAGTCCCTGTCTTCTGTCCTGCCAAAATTGGTCTTCACAGGGATATGAGCTCTTAACCTCCTGATAGTTACAGGAACCATTGAAGATCTCTTGTTGAAAGAGTGAAATAATGGGAAATTAGAATGTATAGGCACTCAGCCCTAGGCTGAATACTCAGGGATGGTCATTCTTCTTCTCTGTGCCCTGCTATTTATTCTCTAAAGAGAAGATGCCAATGGGACCCAACTTCATCAGAAGCTTATCAAGCAAGCTAGAGGTCTATGTTAAATACCAAAGAATTGTTTTTGGTTTTTTGTTTTTGGTTTTTTGGCTTTTTTTTGGAGAGGTTTTTGCTACAGGGCGCATGCGCTCGCCAGAGAGACAGAAAGCAAGACGTCATCTTCTGGAGGGATGGACACGCCGAATCCCTTCTCCATTCTCCTCTTGGGATCTTGGGCACGCGCACACACACACCCAGCGTGAGTTTAAGACACCGGGTCCGGGACTCAAACCAGTGTCTACTCCATGGGAGTTCAACGACATAGCCATTACACTAACTGCTGGTCCCCAATACCAAAGCATTGTGGTGCAAAGTTTTGGGATTGCCCCAAGACATTACACCTTCCCATCACACAGCATTGCTTGGGTAGTCCCAGTCCTAAGCCATGCTGACTGCTATAGGGACATAGCCTAGGATGAAGGTAGGGAGGATAACAGTTATGCCTTATAGGCACTCCAAGCAGAAGACGTGACACACACAGAAATCATTACCGTGTAACTAGATGAACCATGCCAAGTGCTCGATTTTGGAGCACCATGGAGATAAGAGAGAGGCCATTCTGGTATTTAAGTATTGGGAGAGAGGACACAAGGAAGGCTTCCCAGGTGGGATGGAGCTGCAGCAGAGCTTCGACTATGGTGGGCATTTCCACAGATAAGACAGAAGGAGGCCTTCTGGATGGAGGGAGGACAAAAGTAAATGTACACTCAGGTGTCTTCTGATAACCCTAGCTCCTCCCACAAAAGCAGCATGTCCAGTAGACCAATGTCCTGGGGTCAGTTTCAACATCTAAAAGACTTCTCCTGAGAGTCAGAATACTAAACAGAATGCAAAACAGCCTCAGGATTTGTGTATGGATCCTGACTTCTGATGGGACCCAGGTAATCGTTTGTTCCCCCAGTTGCACCTTCATCCTTATTCTGAGGCAATGTCTGAGTGGGCCCGGGGATTTTGACTTCCCCTGGATCTGTGAGCATTAGTTTGATGTGCCAGCTCCTGCACTGCTGCTCAGGCCCAAGAAACTCAAATCTCTCATGGCATCAAAGAAGCAGAGAGCTGGAATATCTCTAAAGACCACCTTGCCTCAATCTAAGACCTCCTTGAACATTTTCTAGTGATGAGAAATGCACAGCCTCCAAGTGCAGCCCGTTCTAATTTGAAAATGCACTGTCTTTTACCAAGATACCCCTGTATGCAACCAAAATCCACCTCTCTAGAATATATTTTTATAATTAAAGTTGTAATTTCATACTATGAATGTTGTTATTAGCAATATAATCAAGCCTGGATTTCATTAGCATCAAAAGCTGTTGCTCTTATGGGAAACTACACGTTTGTTCCAATAAACATCTGCATCAAGTCAAAGCTCCTTGTTTGGCTTCTAAGTTTTTCATGCACGGATGATTCTGGTGAGTTGTTTTCATTTATCAGCATTTTGTTGTATTTGATTCAGAACACTGTACCATGGAAAGAGAGCGAAACTATGATGAGAAGATTGTGTTATGGATAAAAAAGCATTCCTTAGGTTTTTGGGGTCTGTTCTGCTTAAATACACAGTCCTATTATTCCTGTAAATTACCAAATATTACAGAATGTGAGTTTCAGCATACAAATTAAATTTCTTGAATGCTCCCAACACATAGAATAGAAAAAAAATGTTTTGATCATATCTTCAATGTCTGGTTCAGAGACCATGCCACCATGTCTATGAGTGGCCTATTCTGGACTGGGGTATATACTTCTACCATGAATTTATCTTAGAAACTAAAGAAATTCTATCACCGGGACCAGCAGTTAGCATACTGGCTATGTCGCTGGACTCCCATGAAGTCTACCGCGGTTTGAGTCCCGGACCCGGTGGCTTAAACTCATGCTGGGCACGTGTGCGTGCATGCCCAAGATCCCGAGAGGAGAATGGAGGAGAAGGGATTTCAGTGTGGCCATCCCCCCTGGGGGGTGATTTCTCGCTTTCTGTCTCTCTGTCTCTCTCTGTCTTTCTGGCGAGTGCACGCACCCTATAGCAAAAAAACCTCTCCAAAAAAGAAGAAAGAAAGAAAGAAATTATACCACCGAGAAGCCCTTCAAGCAAGAATAGGCCTGAGCTGGAGAGGAGAAATCTAGAACACTCATATGGCAGAGGTAATGGCCAATCTTGGTCTAGAATGAATCTTGCAGTCAAGATATTTAGGCCCTGGTACAGCCTAAGCTGACTCTCTTACCCATTTAATTTTTCATCTATCTAAATAAATTGATAGAAATCATCTTTGCCCTGTCTTTGTCTAAGGTTATCAAATCAGATTAACAATTAGCAGACAAGAAACAACTTGGGAAACTGTAAACATAGTTTATACTCAAAAAATGCCAAAAATTTATGGGAAATAGTAACCACTAACCTTTTTGAGCACCTAGTATCTGGTTAAGACTGCACTGAGCTCTTACACACATGCTCTAGCTTAGCCCTCACACCAACCCAAGATAAAAGTAGAACTATCACTGCCATTTTATAGGTGAGCAAACTGAGCACAGTAAGATTCAACATGTGGCCCAACCTGGAAGCAGCAACACCTGAGCATCAAGGGCCACACCAATGCCCAGATCTGTGTCCTGACACCACTCTCCAGTAAAAGTAGCAGGGTTTTTGAAAAAATGGCTGATTTCAGGGCTGGAGCAGGAAGGAAATGTGCACAATGAGCCTACACCATTGTCCAGGGCCAGGGAGTAAGGAGGTGTGTAAAGTACCCCCCCACACGCTGGGGCTATGTCAAAGGGACACAGGAGACAATAGAAAGAGCTCCAGGGACCAGAGCTAGAAAGATTTGAGCACCCAAAGCAGTATCAAGTAATAACCCAAATAGAAAATAAACACCCACATGTACATACATATATGAGTACACTACAGAACAAATAAGCAAACTGAGAAAGTAAAAAATCTCGCATAGAAAAGATCAAATAATTTATGTAAATACTCTGCCTTAAAGAGAGATAGCACAAGTCCCCTTCCTTAAGTGTTGGCACGCGTAGGGAATTCCTTCCTAGTACAGAAGCAAGGGGCAGACTGGGGAGAATACGCACAGTAATCTACAGGGGAGAAATCTGATAAGCAGTACCTCAGCCAGGAAATCAAGGTACATATTAGCAACAATAAGTCATACTGATAGCATGGAACCTTGATATGCTGTAATGAAAATAGCTCTGTACCTGTTCTTTCTCCCCAAATCCCATAACCCCGGTCCAATCATGAGGAACACATCAGACAAATCCCAACTGAGCGATATTCTACAAAGTACCTGACCAATACTCCTCAAAAGTACTGTCAAGAACAAGAGTACTCTAAGAAATGGGCACAGTCCAGAGGAACCAATAATGGGTTCAAGTGTGTACCCCAAGAAGATTTGTTGAAGTCCTAACCTCCAGTACAACCAAATGTGACCTTATTTGAAAAGAGGGAAATTGCAGACATAATTATCATAATGAAATCGTACTAAATCAGGGTTTGCCCTTGAGTCAATATGGCTGGTGTCCTCAAAGAAAAGAAGACAAAGACACAGGTGGGGACAAACGCACTGTAAAGATGTGAGCAGAGACTGAAGTCCACAGCTGCAAGCCAAGCTTCACCAAGGATTGCCAGCAAACTGCCAGAATCTGGGAGTAGGCAAGAAAGGATTTTCCTCTACAGAGTTCAGAAGGAACACCACGACTACAGACTTAAAGTCTTCCCAAGTATACCACAATAAATTTCTGCTATGTTAAGCCAGCCAGTTTGGGGTGTTTTGTTAAGGCATCCCTAGGACCAACACAAAACCTAATGAGACAAGATAGTTCAATGTAATGTGGTATCCTAGGTAGGATCCTAGAATAGAAAAAGGACATTGGGTAAAAACTAAGGAAGTCTGAACGAAGTGTGAGCTTTAATGATAAGGCGTTAAATCTGGCTCATTAATTGGGGCAAATGGACCACACTGATGTAAGATGCTAATGACCAAGAAGACTGGCATAGGGCACAGCAGAACTGTCTGCACCGTCTTCACAACCTTTCTGTAGATCTAAATCTATTCTGAAAAGAAATTTATCTTTTAGAAAAAAGTGACCCAAGGATTAGGCCTGTAATTCAGTGATTAAGCACTGTGCTCACGGAGCTAGATCCCACACGTGGGGGATGGCAGCAGTTCAAGTCCTGGCACTCACAGCTTGAAAAACATGCCAGGTATATGTGCATGTGTGCCCAAAGTCCTGATGCAATGAAGAAATAGAGAGAAAAGGATTGTAGTATGACTATGCCACTGAAAGGTGCTTGCTCTCTGTCTTTCTCTCTCTACCCCCCTTCTCTCTCTTTCTCTCTTCTTTATCTCTCTCTCTCTCTCTCTGGTAAGTGATGTGCCTTCTGGCAATTAAAAAAAAGTGACCCAAGATTACTTAGCTAGGAGATGGGAGAACCAGAATTGGAAACTTGTTCCAATGGCCTCTGGAGCTAAGTGCTTAACTGCTACAGCAGTGGTACTTGAACTGGGTCACTTACAGGAGTCACTGAGGAGTTAAAAAAAAAATACTGATGCCTGAGTCCCATCTCCAGAGATTCATACATAACTAGTCTGGAGTTAAGGCTGAGCACTGGGATTTTAAAAGATCTCTGTATGACTTTAATGTGCATCCATTCTGAGCTATCCTGCCAGTATATAACCCCTGAAGAATGTTGGGGGCCTCTATTCCCAAGGTTGGTTCTTTTACTTAGGTTACTCAGTTGGTATGAAACAGAGATGACACAGATGTCTTGGCATTCTAGTTCACGATCCAGGATGTTTCTGTGACTCTTTTTAACAATATCATTGCTAGAACTCTTCTTCATTCATGTTTT